ATACTTTAAAAAATGCCACAAAGTAAAAAACCAAAAAACCAAAAAGCTCTGTACTCATGGAGCTTACATTGCAGTGGAGGAACTAGATAATAAATAAATATATGTAGAATATCAATCTGGCAGTCCATGCCATGGAGGAAAATAAAACATAGAGGGAGGATGGAGAGTATAAAATGGGAGTATAATTTTAAATAAGGTCTTCTTAGAAGGCCCCACTGGGAAGATAGCATTTTAGCAAAAACCTGAAGGAAGTGAAGACTGAAACTATGTAGGTGTTCGAGGGAAAAGCCTTCCAGACAAAGGTACGGCAAGGGTGTGTGTGTGGCTGGAGCAGAATGAGTGAGGGGAACAGAAAAGATGAAGTCAAGGGGGTTGCGTCTGGGAGGTGGGGGAGGGCAGCGTGTGTAAGCCTTTGACAGGCTTTGGCTTCTATGCGGAGGGAAGTGGGGAGCTATTTCAGTATTTTAAGTGAGGAAGTTACCTGAACTGACCCACAGCTTAACAGGTTCAGTCTGACCGCCATGTTGAGAGAAGACTGCGTAGAGGCTTATGGGTAAAAGGAGAGAGACAAGTCACAAGGCTATTGCAATAATCTAGGCGAAAGATAATGGTAACTTGAACCAGGGTGGTATTTTGGATATATTTTCAGGGGAGGATTCGCTGATGGATCAGATGTGGAATATAAGAGAAAGAAGTCACAGATGACTCCAAGATTTTTGATCTGAGCAACTGGAGGGATGGAATTGCAATTTAAGGAGATGGGAAGACTACGAGATGGGCAGGGTGGGTCAGAAATGTAGTTTTGAACTTATGCTTGATATGCCTACAGTCATGTCTAAGTGGAGATGTTAAGTAGCTGAATGGATATGTTGTGTCTGGAAAGGAGAAATCTGGGATAGAAATACAAATTTGGAAGTTGTCAGCATAAATACGGTATTTAAAACCACAGGATTAGGGCTTCCCTGGTGGCGCAGTGGTTGAGAGTCCGCCTGCCGATGCACGGGACACGGGTTCGTGCCCCGGTCTGGGAGGATCCCACGTGCCGCGGAGCGGCTGGGCCCGTGAGCCATGGCCGCTGAGCCTGCGCGTCCGGAGCCTGTGCTCCGCAACGGGAGAGGCCACGACAGTGAGAGGCCCCCGTACCGGAAAAAAAAAACCAAACCAAAACAAAAAAACACGGGATTGGATTAGATGACCAAATGAAATGAGCATATATTGAAAAGCAGTCCAAGGACAAACCCACAGGCACCCTAGAGTGTAGAACTGAGGACGGTAAATGAGAACCAGAAAAGAACCAACCCCTTCTGAGTTGCCAGGGAGACAGGAGAAGCAGGACAAGAGTGGTCCAGGAAGCCAGGTGAACATAGCATTCAAGAAGGGAGAGTCTGGTCAATTATGCCAAATTCCACAGTCGGGCTGAGTAACGGGAAGACTGAGAACTGATCAAAGGATTTACCACGTGAAGGTCATTCCTAACCTTGTCCAGAGTGAGTAAATGAATGTCACATTTCCTCCATCTATATTTGATTGGGACCCAAGAGTGCAGGGACTACGTCTTTGTTTCTCCAGAAAGAGTTTGATGAGTTTGATAAATGACTGTAGGAATGATTGAATGAAATGGCTTTTCCCTCAGGGTCTGGCCTCCCCCAGTTCCTACTTTATTTTCCTTAGAGCTGTAGAGGGTGAGAAACTGCACAAAGTTCCCAATCCCTGAAAGCCAGACTGTCTGGAATTGCCTGTGGTTATTTCTCTGTTCTGTTCCACAGAGCCATAAAACACCCCCAGCCCTTCAGGGCAAAGGAGTCAAAATCTAAAAAAGCAAATACTCTACTCCCAAAGTCACAAGAAAACATCTGCAAGCTGACTCAAATGAATGTAGTCAGGCCACTGGGAGAAACCGCATTCTTGAGATCATTAACTCATGGCATTGTTCAATAAAATACTAATAAAAATGGAAGTTGAAAACAGCTGGATGTTGATGCATTGTTCTCTGGAAGGAGGAAGATTGCCCCTTGGGGCAGTCATTCTATAGTTGCTACCATTTCTTATTTACTATATGTGAGGAACTGTGCTAAGAAGTACTTTATGGGCATTTAGCAAACCGAATCTTCATAACCAGCCTATAAGAAAGGTACTATTATCACCCCCAGATTATAGATGTAATAGTTACATATAACAGCTGATGAAATGGAGGCTTGGAAAGATTGAAGGGATGTCTTGGGATTGAGTACCTTCCCTATTGAAGGACCCTCAGGAGTGACCTGATCCCCGTCAGGAGAACTGTCTCCTGGCCAGGATGAGGAAGGCCCTGGTGATGCTTCTAGAAGGCAACTTTTCCAGGGAGGAAAAGAGGGCCCAGGGGTGTGATTCTGGGACACAGCATCCTGAGAGCTGAGGTGCAGGTAGGGGGTGTAAAGAAGACTCCTGAGAGAAAGGAAGGAAACAAAAACACAATCACAGTTTGTTTTATCCTCAGGCACATCTCAACTAAAAAAAATCAACTCCATTTTTTTTCTTTTTCACACCCCGAGGCCTGTGGGATCTTAGTTCCCTGACCAGGGATTGAACCTGGGCCCTCGGCAGTGAGAGCGCGGAGTCCTAACCACTGGACCACCAGGAAATTCCCTTGACTCCATTTTATAGGTAAGGAACTTAAAGCTTCGAGAGGGTAAGTAGTAATTTCTCCCAAGTCACACAGATGTTAGGAACGGGGGAAGGCCAGAATTTGCCCACGGGGTTATACAATTTAAAAGGCTACGCTCTTACCACATTTCCAAAAGAACTCCAGACATAGCAATGAGAGATTCTTAAGAGATGGGGCTACTGAAAGGCACCCGTTAAAAAGAATGATCTCATTCACTGGACAGCTTTCCCTGGCCCCTCTTGTCTGTGTGTGTTAGGAAGCAGTCCACTCCTGTTATTCAGGGAGCAATTATTCCACTCTCCTGGCACGTTCAGAGCCATTTGCTTCTCTTCCTTTTCAACCATTTATTTTCCTGCTCCTGTGAGCTCTGTCAGGGCAGAGGGAAGAGGCAGAATGCTAACCCTCCACTTATGTAAATTTGGGGAAATGTCTTATTGGGGATATGGTTGAAACAACTGGCTAACATGACATTTTATACAATTTTGTCTGCCTGAATTATCTGGAACCCCCATTAGTTCGTTAATTGGTCCCATGGTAGGTCCAGCAAGAGGCCACACACATGACACAGGGACTTTATCAGAGGTAAGCTCCATCCTAGAAACTCACAGGGCCGAGATGGTGGCCATTCAGTTTATGGCTGTTCAATAAATAATGATGGTCACTGGCAACTGACTCACCAAACTTTGGTCTTCAAGGAAGAATCATGGACTCCCAGGACTCAAGCCCCTCAAAAGGCTACCTGGACTCACCCAATCTGACCCCTGATCCTGGGAGGGAATTCCCTCTCCAACCTGCAGGACAGATGCCCTGGTCCTTTGCTGTAAGCCCTGCAGTGACGTGGCCCTTAACCTCACCAGGCAGCCCCCAGGACTGGGACCAGGGGGCCCTGTTTTTATTTATTTATTTATTTTTATTTATTTAAGGCAGGGGGCTGTTTGTTTACGGCCATGACTGGCGGCTTTCCGGGATCTTAGTTTCCCCACGGGGGATTGTACCTGGGCCACAGAAGTGAAAGAGCCGAGTCCTAACCATTGGACCACCAGGGAACTCCCCCAGGAAGCCCTGTTAAAAATCTCTTTCTACATTGAGCTGAAATCAGCCCCCCACTGTGGCTACTACCTAGTTCTGCTCTCTGGAGCTACTCAAAACATGTCTAATCCTCTTCTACATGCTAACTCTTCCAGGATCTCAGGACAGCACTCACGTTTCTCTTCTCTGCTCCTCCGCTACCCGAGAGTTTAAATGAATTACAGTACACTTTATTTTAAGCAAGTAAAAAGACATAACCAATATAATGAAGGACCTGTGCAGCGATCCCCAGTCTCCACTTCTTCTCCCCACACCCCCTCTTATATATTTCTGCATGCATACATACATACAGGCGTACATACTGCTTATATATTTCTTTGGACTGTGGGATCCCAATGCAGAAAAGACGCTGGTGGGACCATTTGTAGTGCAGTGATAAATAGAAGAAAACAGAAGTCACAGACTAAAGTTTTCTTGTGATGAACATTTACAAACTGTGTCTACCAGCTGTGTGACTGTGGGCAATTTATCCAACCTTTCTCAGTTCTATTTCCTCAACTGTAAAATGGTAATAATAGTTATACTTACTGCGCGGGTTGTTGTGGGATTAATCTAGACTGTGCTCCTAAATCATTTATACGCGGCACTTCAAGTAGCTGTTACAAATGTTTTCTCCCTCACCACCTCACAGACTGGGAAAGGGGCCTAGAAGGGGGTGAGAGTATTACTAGGGGTCACAGCTAGTTAACATCAGAGCGGAAACCTAAACCCAGATCCCTGATTACTCCGGTTTGCCGGGACCCCTTCCTGCTCCCCATTGCGTTCGCGGGTGTCCGCAGACGTTCATCCTGCCAATGCAGATTAGAAACTCACCCCTCATCCCACAGTGCCCACGACACTGGGAAGTCTCTACCAAGTACCGACGATAACTGCAGCGAGCTCGGGTCTTGGCTTTTTGCCATTTAGGAAAGGGGAGGGATGGGGATGGACAACACTGGCTGGCTCCCTAGGAGTAATTAAAGGTTAAAGGTAGTTTTCGGCCTTGCGATCTGAGCGTTCCAGCCGTTTGCATTCCGATACAGCTCTTTAGCGGCTGGCGCACCTGGGGCGGCGGAGGCGGGGCCACAGCGTGCGGCGCGGCGGCCGGGGGCGGGGCCGGGACGCCCGGTCTTCGAACCGCAGAGCCGAGCGTTGCGTTACGGCCCCGGGGCGTGGCCTCGCGCAGGTACGTCGAGCTTCTCGAGTTTCACTGAAACTTTTCCAGCTCCGGGGATACGTGCGCAGAGGCTCCAATTAGGGGCAGGTGGGAGGGTGGCTTTTTCTCCTAGCGGCGAGTGGGACTCTGAGTTTCGAATCGTTGGCGGCGAATTCCCCGCCCGCCGGGTGTCGGGGCTGCTGGAAGGATGCGAAGCCTGAGCGCGGCGTGGCTGCTGGGGGGCGTCATCCTGCTGGGGACCTCTGCCTCCTGCAATCGCACCGTCCTAGGTGAGAAACTTGGCCAAGGAGGGCTCGTGCGGCTAAGGAGCGGGGGTCCTGGGCACCATGGGCAGGTGGGGGAGGAGGGTCAGGCGCGCGAACGGTGTTCTGCCGCCGCCGCCGCCGCCAACTCCTCCCGACATCCCGCAGCCTCCTCTCGGCGGCTTTGAATGGGGGATCCCTGCGCCCTGGGAGCAACCAGCTGGGACAAGCGGGAGAGGCTGAAGTCTACGGAGGGGAAAGGGAGGGAGCGGAGTGCTCGCTTCTACGGAGTACCCAGAGGGCTTAGCCTCTCGGGCCCCGGTGGGTTTCTTCGCAAACACGGAAATCCTTAAGGAACATTTCGCACACCCTTGAGACTCTTCCGGGCTGGTCCTGCGGGACCCGCGCAGTTAGCGAGTTGATGGCTCAGAGCGCGGGGGTGGCGTGGATGGGAGCCCGCGGCCTGGGAACTTTCTGCCTCGGTTTTTGCAGCCTCCTTCAACTTTTGGAAGCCACTCTTTGGGGTCGGCCCACGGCGTTCAAGACGCCCCCGGGGCCTGCAGCTCCTCTGGCACAGGGCACAGCCGGGGTGTTGAAGTCAGGGCCGGACCCTGCTGGGTTCTTGGGGTGACAAGCGCTCACCCCGAGGTTTAGGCCAGTTAGGAGGATTAAATGAATGGAACTTCGACCCTGCCTTACATTCGACCAAGTGAACTTACGGCCCTGGGTTTCCCTGGCCTTAGCTGGCTGCGGCTCAGGTCTGTAGGCCGGAGGCTGCCCGCCCCAGGAAGGGAACAGCACGAAAGCCGTCCCTGGCGGCGCTCAGGTGCCAGTTTGTGCGCCGCAGCGGGGTTCCACGGGTGTGCTGCCCTGGGTGTGTTCGAACTAGTTCGGCTGAGGGTGGAGCCTCCCGGGCTGAGCAGGCCTCCGAGGGCGTAGGCACTGTTAAGCCTGGTATGGCACTGCTGTGATGCTAAAGGACGCCCCGCTGTTTGGGGCAGCCAGGGTAGCCTTGAAAGGGAAGTTTTAATTTCCCTGCGAAATTTGCAGACCTGTTGCAAAGGCAGGTTCTCACTTTTATCCTCTTCATAAAGACATTGTAAAAGAGCAAGTCACTGTGAATTTGAATTAGACGGAAGAATGTGATTCTTTTCCCTTTGGAGTTACAGCAAAGGGTATTTTGGTGGATACTTGGAAACTGCACCCCTGGTACACATTTTATTGACAGCATTACCGAATGTAAAATAGTTGTCTGGCGGGAAGCAGCCGCATAGCACAGGGAGATCGGCTAGGTGCTTTGCGATGACCTAGAGGGGTGGGATAGGGAGGGTGGGAGGGAGGCTCAAGAGGAGGGGATATGGGGACATGCGTAAGCATATGGCCGATTCTCTTTGTTGTGCAATAGAAACTAACACAGTATTGTGAAGCAATTATATTCCAATAAAGATGTATTAAAATTTAAAAAAAAACAAGAATAAAGGCATTTATTTACAGGAAGTACTGAAACTGTGATGCACGCATGTCCTTTTACTCTTATGTTTTAAACTTATAAACTTAAAATTTAGGAGCAAAGTTTAGTATGTGCAAACTTTTTTTTTTTTTTTTTGCGGTACGCGGGCCTCTCACTGTTGTGGCCTCTCCCGTTGCGGAGCACAGGCTCCGGACACGCAGGCTCAGCAGCCATGGCTCACGGGCCCAGCCGCTCCGCGGCACGCGGGATCCTCCCGGACCGGGGCACGAAGCCGCGTGCCCTGCATCGGCAGGCGGACTCCCAACCACTGCGCCACCAGGGAAGCCCTGTGCAAACATTTTTTAAAAAAAATATGTGGATGTTGATGTTTGATCTGTTTTATGATTCAAACGGTCCCTATAGGAAGCTTGCCCGAGTGTCTGGCTTGTTCTTGTTTACAAAGTGAGGGTCTGGAGCTGGGGGGATTCCTGAAGTATAAGGGGGACTTACTTTAACAACAACAAAAATCAAGTTACTTGTTAACCAGAAGTATTTAATATTGCACTTTTTTTTTTCCTCCACATATTTTTACTCCTTTGCAGGGTAACTGTCCTAAAGGGTCAGTTAAGTAACAGCGAGACTTTAGGTAGATGGAGCTTTCCTCACAACTTGAAGCTAGATTGATTTTGATTAAGAAACAGGGCATCACCAGTGTTTCTGCCCTTTAGCACCTGTCTTTGCTTACCCTCTTCGGTTCGACCCTAAGGTGTGCCCCTCAGTTTGCAGCAGGACACATCCTAGGTTTGATTTTTCTTCTCCAAGGTTTTTCCCCAAAAGACTGCCTTATGGAAGGGAACTCAGCCTAGAGTGTAACCTTCTCATTTTACAGATACGGGCCACTGAATTGAGGAGTGAGGGGCAAGGAAAACTGTCCATCAGGCCTCTGCTTTCTTTCTGATCACAACAGTAATCGATAGTTATTTCTGTAAATATGTTTCATCTGTCGCCCCACCAGATCACGTACTCCAGGAGGCCAGGGACCCCTAGCGGCACCTCCATCACCACGGTCCAGCACAGTCTCATTCCCTAAAGGACCTCAGTAAATAGCAAATGAAGAAGGAAGTGAAGGGACTTGCCCAGAGTGACCTGGTGGTTGATGGCAGTTCAGCATTTAAGTCGGCTTCTTTTCAGGCACTTACTTCTTTCCACCGTGTCACGAACCTGAGAAGTCCCCTGTAATGCAGTCATTCCATTTTTCTTTTGGAGACTGAAACTTGTGTTCTTTTTGTAATTGGCTTTTAATTATACAAGCTGTATGTGATCACTGTAAAGGAAAAATGAGTCCAAAAAAGGGGTTGCATTAATTAAATCACCCTCAGTATCCAAAGCACTGCTAACATTTTGGTTTCTAGCCTTTCTCTTGCTTTCATACATCAGTGCATAAAATACATATTCACAGAGAAATTTTTTTTGTACAAGTATGTGTTTATATAAACATCAGTAGCATATCAGTAAATGTAAAACATTTTTAATGACTCTAAAATGTTGTCAATGGATGTATCATAATTTTTAATTGGTCCTCTGTTGATAGACACATGGGCTATTTCGAGTGTTTTGTAATAAGAGAGAACACATAGAAAATGAAGATGGGACTTTAAATTTGTGTTTGGTCGCCTTCCTGGCCTTGTAGTTACTAATTAACCTTGATAGGCAATGTTTTAGTGAAGTCTGTGTTTGTCTTTCTTATGGTTTTATTAGCTGGACAAGTGTTGAGAGGAAAACGGTTCATCCTGAAAGAACACGAGAAAGTTGACTAAAGTGTACCTAGAGAAGGGGTACCGAGCAAGTGAAGCTTTTATTTTTTTTTGATCTGTGCTCCCAAAAGTCGGAGCAAAAGAAGATTTGGGGTGAGGAGGATAGTAGGGGAAAGAACACAAGAGGAGAGTTTAAACAAATAAAGTAGCTGCTCTGTACTTGCTTTGATTGGGAGGGTGCGCCACAGGAGGATGCTTAATATAACAAAGAACAGGTAGCGTTTTTAAAGTTAAAAGTTTTCCATGCATTTTTTCCCCAAAATTGTACAAATCAGAAGAATTAAAAAGAAAGCGAAACATCCCCTCCTCTTTCCCCTCTTCACTCTCAACAGACTTTTCTATGCAGAAATATATGTATTTTGTAACAATAGAAGGATCATAATGTACATTCTGTCCTGCAGTTATTTTTTTTTTAACCTAGTAGATCTATTCATGGTCAGTATAAAAAAACTCTGTCCATACTTGTGTAGAGGGAATATTATTCATTGTATAAATGCCATAAATTATTGAACTAGCCTTTTTTGTTTTTCTATGGTCATTGAAACTAACATTTTTGTTTTACCATGGTAAACAATATTCTAGTAAATATTCTTATACATAGTGTTTTTGTGCACTTTACTAGTATATGTGCAGGACAAATTCCTACCAATAAATCGATGAGTCGTAGGGCAAGCACACTGAAAATTTTGATGTTTTTGCCAAATTGCCCTCCAAATAGGTTGTACCAATTTATACTCCTTTGAAAAAGTAATCCAAACAACATAGAGGGGTGTGAAGTAAAAAAAGTAAGTTTTCCCTCCCCATCCATTTTACTCGATAGAGATGGCCGTTGTTTATAGTTTAGTGGGTATTTTTCTAGACTTCAGATTTACAAACAAATTATGATTTTGTTATATAGATGGAAGCATATTATTCTGCCAGTTGCTTTTTTTCAATAGACATATTGTGACTCTTTCCATTTCAATGCTTATTAAGTAGTGTAGTGTCTACTATTAATGCTAGGGACTGTGCTGAGGATATGGTGAATTAGGACTGGTGGTTGATGAATGTTGCTTCCTGTTTGTTTGTAATTGGGGTGGGGGGATGCTGCCTTGAGCATCAGTGGGTGTGTATTCTTGTGTACTTGGGCAAGTATTGTTGATTACAGGTCCCAAATGGAGAATGCTTTTGTGTGTTTAAACTTTACATGTGTTTAAACTTCATATGTACATTTAATTTCATCTTCGCTCTTGAAAATAGACATGATTTTGTCTGGTGTACAGATGGGTTATAGAGTTGGAAGCTGGAATAGCATCAGTTCTAGACAAGTTCTGTGAGTTGGGGTGACTGGGATAGGATGCTGTACGAGGCAGAAGTCTGCACTGTGCTGAAAGTGCTTCAGGGAACTTTGAGCAGCATCTTGACATTTACCAGTGTTAGAACTGACCAGTGTTATACCAAGCAGCGTGCTGCTTGTGTGCTCTGCCACCGGTACAATGAACATAGCTAATATGACTGGTATTTCAGATTGAGATCATTCAAGGTCGTATGTTGGAATATTCGCAGGAAATTTGTCTTTCTCTCTCTCTCTCTCTTTGAATCCTTCCCTAACTTTTTGTAGTATTTCTTGCTCTTCCCCCCGCCTCCCCTCTATTTTAGTACTCTTATTTAAAATAGATTTTTATCTCTCTTTACATGAACCTTCCTGACCTGTCATGTGTTTATTTTTATGGAAAACTTTAGACATGTGAAAGTAGAATATTACAGTGAATCCCAGGTACCTCTCACTCCGCTTTAATAATGATGCCCCAGCCTCCTTCCTGCCCTCCTTCCTGTGTTATTCTTTAACAGCTTTAAGATATAATTTGCAGACCATACAATTCACCTATTCCAAGTCTACAATTCAGTGCACTTTAGAACATTCACAGTTGTCTATCCAGTGCCACAATCAACTTTAGAATATTTTTATTACCCCATAAGAACATCCCCCCCCACCCCCGCTCTTAGCCATCACCCCGCAATTTGCCCCATTCCCCAGCTCCTGGCAACCACTAATCTACTTTTTGTCTATGGATTTGCCTATTCAGGACATTTATTATAAATGGAATCATACAATACATATTCCTTTGTGACTGACTTCTTTCAAAAGCATAATCTTTTCAAGGTTCATCTGTATTGTAGCATGTATCAGTTCTTCATTTCCTTTTATTGCTAAATAATGTTCCATTGTATGCATATACCACATTTTGTCTACCCATTCATCACCTGATGGACATTTTGTTGTATCTGCTTTGGGGCTTTTATGAATAATGCTGTTATGAACATTCCTGTATAAGCTTCTGTTTGAACACGTGTTTTAATTTGTCCTGGGTGTATACTTAGGAGTAGGAATTGATGGGTCATATGGCAACTCTATGGTGAGCCGTTTCAGGAACTGCCAAATTATTTTGCACAGTGACTGCATCACTTTACATTCCCACCAGCAGCACCTGAGGGTTCCCCTCCTTGTGTTATTTTGAAATAAATCCAGATATAATTTCATCTTAAAATATTTCAGTATGTATTCATAAAAGATGGCAATTTCCTTTTCAAACATCACCACATAATAACCACTGACAAAAATTGTGTAATATAATCAAATACTCAGTGTTCATATTTCTAATTGTTTCGTAAGTGTCATAAATACTATATTAATAGTTTGTTCGAATCAGGATCCAAACAGGGTCCACACATTACATAAGGTTAATATTGTCTTATAAGTCTTTTAATTTATGGGCCCTACCTCCACACCTCTTTCTTGGTTTTTGCCTTGTGATTTATATTTTGAAGAAATGAGGTCCTTATCCTGCAGCAGTTTCCACAGCCTGGATTTTGCTAATGACATTCTTATGTTATTGAACATGTCCTATTGTCCCCTTTATTTCTATTAATTTGGCAGTTGGATCCAGGGGCTTGTTCAGATGAAGGTTCGTTCGTTCTTTCGTTTGTTGCAAGATTACTTCATAGGTACTTCCTCCCTTCGGAGGCAAATAACGTCTGGTTATCATGTTTGTGATGTGGGTAACTCCGGGCAATCAATGCTTAGATTTTCTTCCCTTTTATAAAGCAAGTTATGTCATTTTTTTTGTTTGTTTTGGTACCAAGGGAAAAAATTGAGTCTTTTTGTGGTAATTAGAAAATCTTGGTGGCTCCATTCTGCAGAAACGCAGTCTGACTCATTGTCTTGGTCTCTGGTGGGCTGTTTCTGGGCTGGATGTCCCAGCTCTCTGAATGGAAGAGTCCTCAGAACAGGAGTCCACTGTCCAGTCACCAGCTTTGCCACACCTGCCTCTCCGGAGAGCCGGTAACCGCTTTTCAAACCAATGAAGAATTTATAGGATTCTCTTACACCTCTGAAAGTCTTCCAGAACATGTTAATATTAATACAACTAAATATATAAATTATTAGAGGAGGGGTTAGTTCAAAGCGGGGCTGTTAAAATGGTAAAATTTTACATTTAAAATTTTCTGTTTGAGAACAAACGTGTAGAATCCGCACAGGTTAGGTTGGTCTCAATAGACTCCAGCGCGTAACCTCACGTCGGTCTCCGAGGCTCAGTGTGATATAGAGGTTAGAACCAGGGAGTCTAGAAACGGACTGCCTTGGGTTGAATCCTGACTCTCCAACCTAACAACTGTTCAGCCTTGGAAAATTTACTCAGTTTTTTCAAGCTTCAGTATATGCATCTAGAAAATGCGGCTCTAATAATAGTACCTCCTCATAAGGTGTTGTGAAAGTGAAGTAAGCTAATACACGTGAAGTGTTGAAAGCAACGCTGGACACACGATATGAACCCTTATTAAGCGCGGGTGCTTGTTGGTGTTGAGGTGGTTTTATTTTGCAGGGCTGTACTCCTGGAATCCCCTGCCGGCATCTGTGTGGTTTGGGTACTAACTGGGTCAGGCTAGAGCTCTAAAGACATGAGCTGCGCTCTTGATTCTCCTTCCTTTTTTTTCATCGGTAGGGCTAGCTGAGCTTTTCAATCCACCCCACGTGCTAGGTCCAGGGCTCTGCCAGGGACCATGGAGATAAGGAAATTAGGAATTAAGGATAAAGGAATTAGGACAGTCCTGGAATTAAACCTGTAATCTCACACACGGCGACTCTTGCCATTTTGACTCCTGGAGCAAGTTCCAGACATTACCAGTCTATAAATATGTCGTTACTATTCTCTTGTGGTGTGTAAAATCGGTCACTCTGCTAAACTGGTTGTGAAAAACATGTAAGTGGGTCATGAAATCAATGTAGGAAGGTGGTGACTGGATTTTATAAGAACGGAACAGAATACAATAGAAAGTATTAGAGTGTACCCTGCACAATAAGGCTAATTATTATTTTGTGAAACTTTTTTTCCATTATGGTTATATGTATCAGAACTGGGTTACCATATAGAATACGTTTCTTACTGTGGGTTAAGGTCAAGCTTTGAAGAACACTGTAATATGTAGGGATATTATTTTATTTTATTTTTATTATTATTTTTTTTGCGGTACGCGGGCCTCTCACTGCTGTGGCCTCTCACGTTGCGGAGCACAGGCTCCGGACGCGCAGGCTCAGCGGCCATGGCTCACGGGCCCAGCCGCTCCGCGGCATGTGGGATCTTCCCGGACCGGGGCACGAACCCATGTCCCCTGCATCGGCAGGCGGACTCTCAACCACTGCGCCACCAGGGAAGCCCTATTTTATTTTTTAAATTTAAAAATAATCATGCTCTTTTGAAAAATTTATAAAAGAAATTGGAAGAAGAGATGAGTCTGTCCTAAGTGTACTAACTTCCTGTGTCTGCCGTAACAAATTGCCACAAGCTGTTGTTTTCAGTTCATTAGAACGTATTTTCTCACATTTCTGGAGGTCAAGAGTCGGAAATCAAAGTGTGGGCGCCCCTCAAGGCTCTAGGGGAGACTCCGTTCCATGCCTCCTCCAGCTACTGGTGGCTGTTAGTATTCCTTGGCATTCCTTAGCTTGTTCCTTGGCTTTACTCCAATCTCCACCTCCATTTTCACATTGCTTTCTCCTTTCTGTCTTCCTTCTCTCTCAAATCTCCCTCTTCCTTTCTCTTATAAAGACAATTGTCATTGGACTTAGGGCCCACCTGGATAATCCATGATGATCTTCCCATCTCAAGATCCTAATGGCATCTACAAAGACCTTTTTTCTAAATAAGGTAAGGATCACAGATTCTAGGGGTTAGGACATGGACATCTCTTTTGGGGGGCCACCCACTCTGCTAAATGAGAAGTGAAGTATTGATCTCTACACCCTTTCATCCTCCACCCACCCTCATCACGGTCACTTCTTAGTAGGGAAGCCTTAAGGGAAGTGA